TTATCAGTCTGAGCATAGTCAATAGTAATTGTTTATATTATTTTCAGTTTGATCAGGCATCAGCACTTCCATTCAGTTTTCAGTTCAGCAAATTCAGGTGGGGACTCAGACTAAGTATTACATGGTTTATAATCACGTTACCATGGTCGAGGTATGTATATTCAGGTCCGCTCGGAATGGTCGCCGGTCCATTCTGGGTTCTAGTGGCCCTAGTCTGCCCACTAGAGTGTGCACATGGCGTCCGGCTTTGCCGGCAGATGTTCAGGTTCAGTTCAGATGTGACTTCTGTCACGACGTGACTTCGGTCGCGAGATTCAGTTAACAGTTACGTGACTTCGGTCGCGAGATTCAGTTATCAGTTACGTGACTTTGGTCGCGAGATCAGACCGGTTTTTATCAGTTACCTGATATCAGTTTCAGTTCAGTTGTATATACTTAGTTCATGATCATGTTATTATTTACGATGTTGTACATTAGCATGAGTTTCTGCGGAGCACAGTGCCTTAGTGCTCACGCCCCACATCTATCATGTTTTTCAGGTCGCAGGGTCGGAGATGAGGAGTGAGCGGGCGAGCTGTTCAGGACATTTATGATTTCTGTACTCGATGTTGGATGCTAAAACTTTTCAGAACTTTTATCAGACTTTTATGATTTTGCCACGCTAGACTTCCGCTAAAACTTTCAGACTTTGCTCCGACGTTAGTCGGATAATAAATTATGACCGTTTTATGTATCAGTTTAAATTTTTAAACGGTTCTCAGAAAAATCAAGTTTTCACGGTAGCATCCCGATCAGTTTTCGCAAAAATAAGTATTTTGTTTAATTATTCAGAAAATTTGCGAAAAATCGCGCACTCTGATGTATTTCAAGAAGCGGGGTGTTACAAATATAACCAATTAACCAGATAAAAGGCAATTTATAATCTCCAAGGAAGTAATGTATTAACTGCTCCAAGGAGTGGGAACAATGGGGCAAAGTTGGATGCATTTGATGAAGCTTCTGCACCTTTGAGATGTCTAGAAACACATCTTTATTTTCTTTCGGCTCCGTTGCAGGTGTCCAATATCTAACAGGATGGATATACCTTTATGGCCCATGTTCCTATCACTGAACTGGTAAACATGCTGCCACATGACTGCTTGAACTCCGTCATGTGCAGACTTCAGCTTGACTAGACATTTTGATATAACTTGTGGTCTGGCATATTATGTATTTATTCCTCTACCAGGTTGTATACTTCACAGAAGCATCCAATAGCATGCATTAAGAAATGCTGATATGACAAGGTACATGATGCTTGGGGATAGCTCTGGACTCTAATTGACTAAAATTAATACCAGAGTACAGAAAAAATAAAACCATAACTCATGAATAAATACTTCCTTTCCACATATATTATATGGCATATTACATGACGGTAACTTACTGTTTGCCCCAATACCCATACACATACAGCTGTGGCACCATCTTGCCATCCCCCTACCATAAGAAACCGAAGTTAAACAGAAAAAGTTAATTGTAAAACACATAACTAGGTTTCAATATATATATGTGTAATTATATTATATATGCGTGTGTGTGTGTGTGTGATAATCAAACATATGCAGATCACCACAAGGAGCTTCTTATCAAATGCAGATGCAAAAAGAAGGATGGACAAGGAGACCTACCATAAGTTCTTCTAAGAGTTTAATTAGAAAAGGAATTATAACATAGGAGTAATGTCAGAATAAAAATAGCAAAATCACTGGAATTCCAATTTGAAGCACAACATTTATCATTTAGCATGCAACACTGCAATTGAGGTAAATAATCAAGGGTAGTTCAGGGAAAAATATAGATACTATACCAAAGAGAAAAGGCAGCACGAGATCTAAGAACCACCAAACTTCATAAATGTTCAATACACATCACCGAAGTTTAAAATTGAACAACATATCATTCCAGTTAGCCAATAAAAAGACTGGAAGTTTAATCCTGAACATATCATACCAATTAGCCAAGGAAAAGACCATGCAAATTGAGACCTGGACAACATATCAAACCAATCCGCCAAGAAAAAGCATAAGCTTCCACAACAATGCATTCTTTTTCTACAATAATAATTTTAGCATTCAATTTACTTCAAGAGCAAAGGAAGAAAAAATGAAACCAAGAAAAAGAGCTGTCGAAGAACCTGCAGCACTTTCTTGAAGGAGGGCCTCATCCACACTTCGAAATCCTACTCAGGTAAAATAAAGAAAGTCTTAATCACATTCACATCATGAAAATTGGTGAGAGAAGGAAAATTCAAAAACTAATACTCATTCTTAAGACAAATTCAGCAAAAAGAAGTTATAATGTGGACATACCGGCGAGTATAGCCTTCTTTGCACACTTCACATCCAACTGAAATTTCCATCAGAAAACAATATCACCCATTAATACAAAATATCTCGAAGTCTGAAGTTACGGATTAACAGAAGATTTTACAGCTTAAAAGCACTCGAGAACAAAAAAAAAATACAATAAATGCATAGACGAACAGACCAACTCACGTGGTAAGCCTGCTGAAAGCACGTTCTTGTGCAAATGCTTCTGTGCATACTCTGCAGCTAATCGGCCTCCATGTCCATCATAAATTGCAAAATGCGCACATCTACAAGGCATAAGGTTTTTTGTTTTCTTTCATGAGAAAATGGTACAAAGAAGTTCAAATATAAAAATATGGCATACGAATTGTGTAGACACTACAAGAAAATATGGTGAGGCACTTCTGCAAACACAAAAGTTCGTCAACGAACAACTAACAGCCAAATCTACGAAATGTGGGCAAACCAAAAATCGCAATAAATGCAAGGAATGGCGAGTGAAGAGCAAAAACCTCAAATCTCCGGCAGATTCCAAGGCGGCGTCGTGAAGCACTACCCAGGAGTCCTCCATAGTTGGCCTAGAACCTTTATCTTCAGCTACATCGGCTTCTAGAACGAAAATCCCCTTACTGTTTGAGTTGGCAGTCTTCGATTCATCTTTTGTTTTCAACCGTTTCCGCGGTGAGGAGCCGGAGCCTGTGGGTTCGCTTGGGCTTTTGTTGTCTGACGAGGACTCGGCGAGGTAGCTCTTTTCTGGCGCGCTCATGTTTTCGGATAAACCAGAAGAAGAACCTGTGAAAATAGGAGACGGAAGTGTAAGAAGGAAATACATCCAAGAAGATAAATGTCACCTAAATGTTTTTTTTTTAATAGTTAGAAAAAAATAGTTATTTTCAACTCGATCTGAAACCTCAAATAATAAATTAGCTTCTTCACCTCATAAAGTACAAAACATATTATCGATGTACTATGCCGAAAATAATTAATAAAATATAAGTACAAAATAAATTATTTGATAAACTAGGTGAGAAACAAAGAAGATAATCGATAAAATGCAAAGAAAAATTAGCTGATAATATCTAAGTGCGAAATAAATTATGCGATAACCTACGTAAGAGAGAAATACGAACATAATCGATAAAATGCGAAAAAATTTATGTGATACAATGTGTGACAAAGAGACGAAAATAATTAATAAAGTGCGAAATAGATTATGCGATAAATATGCGACAACAAACGAAAATAATTGATAAAGTGTCAAATATTTATGTGACAACTATGCGAAATGCTGGAGTTTGGTTAGGAACGTCGAATTTATACAAGACACGGACTATCTTCGGATTAAACCCTAAGCGCAGCGGAACTAGAAGTTAGAGTTTAACGCGTACCGTTTAATTTTGTTCTTTTTTGCCGGCTCTGAGACGCTTCTGATTTCCGTTAATGGAGATCGTCTGAACCCTTAAGTCGTTTGTCCCATCGCGATTGCCTCATCACGTTTCTTGAAGTCCAAGTCCCGTCTCGGATCGCCTAGGGCCTCGCCACAGTTGCTGGAGTTGTTCATAATTGAAAACGAATAATTAGTAGATGAAATGGATATACCAAGTGTATCACCATTTTGAAAATGAATCATGAGCTTAAAAAGTGTATGCCTGATACTCGAGAGAATTGCCCCATTGGGGTCGGTATGCCTAACACGGATCCATCACCGTCGTTTCGATTTCGCTTGGCTTTAACGTTAGGTAACTTAGGTTCTTTTGTTGTTTTTTTTTTCAAGTAAAATACCTAAAAAATAAAATAAAATAAAAAAAAAGAATCGTTGGAACTGACCCGAAATCGGGCAAAACTGACGGGTCGGTAAAACCGGCAGTTCAGGGACGATTCATGATAGTCGGGTCGGTTTCGGGCCCATCATTTGATGCCTGCTGGGTCGGGTCGGGTCGTAAATCAACCCGACATTTGGACACCCCTGCACTCCACTGAATAACTTACATAATATATCGTTTCACTATCAAAACATTAGTGCCCTCTCTCATTCTCCCCGAATTATATTCCAAGCTCCAATTATAATTACCCGAATTACTTCCTCACGTTTAAGATATAATGTCCATCAATTAATTCATTACTGATAATCAAGAATTAATCAACATCTTAAAATTAAGCTAGTACAACTCAAATTATTATTATTATGTCGGAACTTAATCCACCCGCAGGGTTTAACATAATAATCCTTCATGAGCTCATTTAGGGGACTTCATCAAACCAACGCACATGGTGACCGTAAATATTCTAACAGCACACCATACACGCAACACTATTGCCCAATAGACGAAGAATATTGACCCAGTAGAATTGATCTCGCTTTTGGTGAATCAAAACAGCAGCTAATGCGTGCACATGCCTATTAATATCTTACGGGTTAAGAGAACGCAGTAATTAATTGAGTCCTACTTCATTTCTGAGGATCAGTATAAAACGAACTGCTCTTCTATGGTATCCTGTTCAATACATAAAATGTACTAGTGCAACTAATCAATCAAGATCAACTGTACCGTTGCACTACAACTGTTCCGATGGTTGATTCATTTCCATTGGATAAAATGATCTTTTGTCCATCCTGTTGTATGTATTTTTACCGGAGTAGAATCAAAGGATTCGACATCGGGTCGTTTCACAAGGAAGGTCGATTGACAACCGGAGGTGTTCACGATCACAGTTGAGTGACGGAATTGAGCTGAAGTTGTTTTTATCTAGCCACTTAGCCTATATGTATCCTACCGATCCAAAGAGCCTACGTTATAACCCGAGAAGTCCTCTTGATTCATCGTTTCACGTTTTCGATTGTTTTAGAGTAGAA